CATTGATCAAATATGCCATGACATTTCATAATTTCTTTTTCCGTCTATTTGCAGCACACACTCATAAAAAAAAAGAAGAGAAGTTAAATTAATGAAATGCCCAACATTGAAATAAATCCAAGCATAAATTGCAGAGCGCTTAAAACTTGCAATTAATAAAAATACAAAAAAAAAAAATAAAAAAAAACGTATACATGTACATGTAATAAAAAGTGCTTTACGCATTGATAAAAAGTGCGTGCTAATTGAAAAGTTTAAAGACCATTTACTGCATAATTTATACACACATTGGCCGAAAGACACAGTGTTCACAATTTCTTGGCAACATGTTGAATCAATTCTACGCGATAGTCGCAACTCTGCTCATATTGGAGACGTTGACAACTCTGGCGCTGAGCAGCGATGGCAATGTCGGCAGCGTTGGCGGCTCCACGGTCAACAATGGTGAGTCCGACGATTTTATATTAATTTTATTACATAATTACAATCCGATAGACAATTTAGCTCCGGATTCCTCATAATATTTCCGGCAGCGCATTGAGTTTAATTATTTATATAATTGTATTACAATTATTACAAACCAGCAACATTTTAATCGATGTCAAGCGAGCGAAACTAACTTAATTAATGGGGCACAAGACCAAAAAAGTTGACCACGTTGCAAAAAATAAAACTTGATAGAGTTGTAGAGATGAAATAAACAACAGCATTAAAGCACAAATGCGTCTAAGCCTTATCTGAACTCATGAGAATCGCATAGAAGAGCTAACTTTATAAATACGTGTTTTATAAACTTTTAATGCAGTAATAAATGGTGATTAGAGAAATACTAATTCATTTGGCTTAGCAAAGTTTCAGTAATTATAATTAGAAGGTTAGAAAGGGAAATTTCTGGTTCGGCAGCCCGCATACATAATTTGTCCGTAACTAGCCATGGGTCTGTTGGTTTCGCTCGTTCATCTATTTAATGTCCCTCAGGTTGTTGCGAAATCACTAGTCGATTATATTTATGGGTCTTTGCGTTTAATTTGAGATTCATTAGTTTCCCCCATTGCAGTAATTAAAATTATCAGCCATAACTTTATGTTGATGCTCACTATTAAAACGTAACTAAAGATAAATATACCAATCATAACTCAAATGCCAACTTTTGGCCACTTCTTCAACACGCTCTCCGGCACGCTTGTTAGGCAAACTTAAGTCAACTGCTTGGCCATTGAAAACTTCATTAGACCGGCATCAAATGCTGTAGCTGTAGCTGTTGGTGGTGCTGCTGCTGCTGCCACCTAACAGAATTTGGCCAGAAGCTAAATCAAAATCACACCCGTAAAACTTTCTAGCTAATAAATGGTAGGAAAACTTTCTGGCTGGCTCGTTTGTCATTTGGGCCCGGGCAAAGAGCGAAATAATTGTCAATTTGTTTGTAGGCGGGCAGGACAATGCCTGGCGGCAATAAAATTTATTTAAGTGGCCTCATAATTGTTAACAACAAGGCACAAAACAAACAAAAGGCCGCTGCAGCTGAAATGAGCAATTATTAAGCCATGCAAAATGTAAAACACAAAAAAAATATATATATATAAGCAACAAAAACATGAGCCAAGTCAGCAAACATCATAATCAAGTTATTACTTTGGCACATATATAATTATATATTATGTATATATCTATATATAATGCAGACGCAGTGCCAGTGGACGCGACCGAGAGCTGTAAGGCATGCTAAATGCTCAACAATGAAAATATTAATAACGTTAATGAAATTCTGGCAGAAAGAAACCGTCAGAGACAAACAAACAGTGGAGCCTGGCAATAATGCTAATGAGCAAATGTGTTTGTGCCGCGGCGAACAAGAAGCGGCCCGGCTGGTGTGCTGGGCAAAGCCAAGTGATATGCTGGGGTTAACTTAAATCCATGCCAGACATGCGAAATTTGTATGTGTGCGTGCTTGCATACTTTTGGCCTCACAATCCAAATGTTTGCGCCGCTAAATAGGCAACAAAAACTGACTGCATGCCGAATGTGCAGGCGTGTCTGTGGGTGTGCATGTGTATGTGTGTGTGTTCATTTGCATATGGTCAGCGGCATTTCGATGAGCATAGAAACTTTTTTCTCTAAATTCCTAATGAATTAGTTATGTGATTTTGATGACTTTTAAGTGGTTCCCCTCAAATGTGCGTGTGTGTGTGTGTGTGTGTGTGTTTATGTGTGGGTGTGCAGCTCGATGTGCCTGTAAATGTAAAGTTATCAACTAGAGTCCGATTGCAATTGCTGTAAATGCACTTCACATGCCAATTGGAATTTGGCTTTGACTTTGTGATTGCGCATCATTTTTTTTAATCATATTTTTATTATTATTATTATTATTGCTGCTATGATTATTTTTATTATGATGTTTATTATTGCTGTAATTATTATTATTATGATTGTTTTAGTTAATATTATTATTTACAAATTAAACAATTTTTTCCCAAGAGCTGTAATTTTTTTATATGCTTACAATTTTTCCTTCGTGGATTTGAAATTAGGCAAACATAAGCACAAATTAGTCAGAAAATATATTTTAAAGCATTTCTTGCCGGTTCCGAATCAAATTTATCAAAACAGGCAGCAATTTGTTTCATCATCAGCGTTGTTTGTCAGCGAGCGATTGCTTCATGATTTGTTGAAAATATGTTAAAAACTTTTTACCTACTTTCAATTGGGCTAACAAGATTTGCCATAAATACTTACTTGTTCGTCAAGCCAATTAGCCAACTGTGCACTTGCTACTTGAGAGGGGGTTGGGGGGGGGGGGGGCATTTGGCCAACTTGAGGAGAGCTCATAAAAACGTTTTGATTCCATCTCGCCAAATGTTTGACGCTCGCATTAGCCCCCATTTTGAGTGTATCCTTCATAACTAGGCAGCCATTAAGTGGCAGCCAAACGAGTTAGCCTTGGCAGCTGGTCTCACACTACTGTCTTCTTCTTCTTCTTTAACTTTTGGCTGCTCAGCCCGTCTCTGTCGCACACATGTGCATAACAATTATATAAACAATTACAAGGCAACGACAACAAACACTAATGACAGCAAACAGGATGTTGCCAGCGAGCAGCGGGAACAGGAAGCAGGAAAGTCAGTCAGGAAAAATCAAATTTGTCAACTGTTAAAGTCGTTGTTGTTATAGTTGTTGTTGTTGCTGTTGTAGTTGTTGTTGTAGCTGTGGCGCTGTAAACACAATAAAAATTACACTTAATTTGGCATTTAAGTGGCGACAACAACGACAACGACAAGGCTGCCTCTCAAATGTTTTCCTTTGTTAGGAAGCCAAAAAAAGGCGTTTGGGCGTGGCCCGCACACACACACACACACCCCATTTTGCGCCCATGTGTTAAGTGTCATTATGTAATGTGACATTCAAACAAAGAAGCGCGTGTGAAATGTGTTGATGGCTTTGTTGACATGTGAAAAGAAATGAAACTGGAAAAGAGCCCAGAGCAAGAAGTGCCCTCGAAAAAGTCAAGTGGTTATAACTATAACAAAAGCATACAGTGTTCGGGTGAAGGGAGCTGCATTTTGACACCCACGCACACACACACACACACACACGCACACACAGACAGACAATGTGAGTTATTTCCATAAGCAAAGATCATTTGTCAGCAGCCAGCAAAATGGGGATGGCAGCGAAATCTGTGCTTTCCATTATGAAAACACTCAACAGCGACAGCTGAACGCGATAAGCAATGCATCCAAATGGTTGGGCACTTTAAAGAAGAAGTGCCCCTTCTGCTGCGGCTCCCGGCACAGCGCTCAAGTGCCTGACTGGCCATAAAAATAAAATGCCTTCCGCTACACATCATCGTTTAATGGCTGGGAGGGCGTTGCCTTATCTGCTCTGATTAGCAATTAGCACGTGTCTTTTGGCTGGGCCACAATCCCGGTCGGCAGCACTAACATTGAATTATTATGCTGAAGGTCAGCCACGTGGCAGCCGCAGTCGCAGTCGCTGTCGCCAATGGACAGCCAAGTGCCATCTGGGCAGCGTCGGGCTTGTTGGACATGTCCCGCATGGGCCGAGATTAATGATGTGCCCGGCATGCCACAGGCGTTGGGCATTATTAGCGTTGCGCATGTGGCAGAGGCCCATGGGCTGTCTCCGAGTGTTGGCCAGTGTGCAGCCGCATAAATCAAGTAGATTATCAGGTAGCGATAGTCAGAGCCAAGGATTTGCATATGAAATTTAGTTGACAGCCACAAGCAGTTAAGGATTTCGAGTTTTTGCGCCCCACTTGCGCTCCACACAGACAAATCTCCGCCTGGGACAATGGCAAGATGCTCGTTTTGTGGCGCATTTTATCTCTTGGGCGTGTTATCCTCTTATCCTGCTGGCCAATTAGTCTCTAGTTTAATGAGAGAATATTGTGTGTGTCGGTCATTAGGGTTATATGCTGAATAGTGTGAATAGTACGAGATTATTTCCGCCTCAGTTAACTGGGCTCTTTAATTAAGACTATGTACATTTACCAATGCAGTTATCACGTCTAAAAAGCAACGTTTAAATATATTTAATACATTAAATGTCATACCATTAAAATACACGTTTATAATTACCGCATATAAACGTCTTTCAATTTCCAACATTAAGTTTAATAATAAAACGAATGGAAAATTTTATTTTCGAGATCTAATTAAAATTGTAATGTATATATGAATAAATATCAAATTATTAAGCTTTCTCTTTAATAATTGTGATATATATTTTTAATTATGGAAATTAAAAAATTCAAGCAATAAATTTACCCAATTCAAAAAGGCCCGCTCAAGCGAATTAGTGATCGCACTCAAACTACCAGGGTGAATAATAATCGAAACCGATGATCATGCTCAAAAGAACAGAACAAACAAAATTCAAACGGAGGCGCGCGAATGGAACGAACAAATGAACCGATAACCGATAATTATTCGTTAAGTTCGTTCTATTGAGCTAACCAATTATGAACCGGGCCAACTCGATTGAATTGTGTAATTGCCTTGCAAATTTTGGCGCGGATAGTTAAGAATGTGCGGGAAATTAATAATGTGCGATTAAAATTAAAATAAAAACAATTATATCGAAACAAAAACAACTATGCAGGCAGCCAAGCGTGTGCTATCACCCAGCAAAGTTGAAAATGTGCCGGGATCCTGCAAGCGCTACAAAAACCAAAATGTTCTGAACGTCCAGCCGGCATTGCCAACTGAGCTGGAGAACTATGACTTTTTGCTGGACGACGACAACGACTTCGATGTGAGTGCACTGGATGCTGCAATAACTGCAAAGAAGATTGATCTGAGCTGCTGGCAGCGCTGTGTGGTGCGCGTTGTGGAGCGTATGCCCAAAACGCACGATCTTTTGTTGCACTTGCGCAGTGAAGGGGATGAGACTGCGAACGGAGCAACCGCTGTTTGCCATCTGCAGGCACCTTGGAACCAGACGCCTGTCCAGCCAGGTGATTTGCTGTCACTCAAGGCGCACTGGCAGCCCGCGTTGGGTGCCTACGTGGTTAACAAGGAGCACGGCTTCTGTGTGATTCACCCGGATCTGCTAATATCGAGTACTTCTGTGACGGGCTCGCTTTTCTGCCGCCGCAAAGCGGTGCTGCAGGATCGTTTTCGCGGTGTCGATGCAGCCAACGCGGTGGTAAGTGCCACGCCTTTCAGCAGTCGGATTCTTTAATGTCAAAAGCACTTTTAGATGATCATTGGCACTCTGGTGCACGAGTTGCTGCAGACGGTATTGTCAAAACGGCTGCGGGCCAAGGCACAGGTAACGGATGCACTGCATGAAATGCTGCGCAGCGCTTCACTTGCCCAGCTGCTCTACGCCGGCCAGCTAAGCCGTGCCGAGATCGAGTTGCAACTGTATAAATTTGTGGAGCCAATTGTCGCCTTCGTTGAGCAGTATGTGGAGGGCAAAATGCCTTCAGTGCAGCCGCCGGAAATGTATACGGGCCGGATTGAGGAAATACACGATATTGAGGAAAATCTGTGGGTGCCGCAGTTGGGGCTCAAAGGCAAGGTCGATGTGTCGGTGCGCGTGCGCAACAAGAAGCTGCCGATTCCATTAGAGCTGAAAACTGGGCGCGCTAGTTTTTCGATGGAACACAAAGGCCAACTGCTGCTCTATCAGCTGATGCACTCGGCTCTAGGCCAGGAGACGCGCTGCGGCCTGCTACTGTATCTGCGCGAGGGCATTGTGCGTGAGGTGCCCGAAGGTCGCAACGAGCAACGTGATCTCGTGCTGCTGCGAAACGATCTGGCGCATTATCTAACGCGCGAAGCCCAGCTGCCAGCGGCCAAGCAATCCATATCGTTGAGCGAAAAGCCTGGCAAGCTGTTGCAGCCTTTTGAGCTGCCCGAGCCCATTTCACATCACAGTGCCTGCGGCAACTGCGCCTATGCAACGATATGCTGCAGCTTTGCCAGCACGGATGCTCAGCTGCAGTTGAGCGAATCGCATCCGCTGCGGCGCCTAATGCCGCAAGTCCTGGAGCATCTTGGCCAATCGGACTATGAGTATGTGCTGCATTGGTGTGGCCTGTTGGCTCTAGAGGAGCAGCAAGCACGTCAATCGCATCAGCTTCGTGCCCTTTGGACTGATACACCTGCCAAACGGCAGCAGCAGGGACGCGCAATCCAGCAGCTGCAGCTGCCCAAGGATCATCAGACACACCTAGTGGATGGACGCTATGAACAGAAGCTAGTGCTGTCAGCGCAAGCGGATAAGGAAATCAATTTAACACTCTGCGGCGTAAGTTTGAACTTAGTAAAATTGTAAATCTTCATTTTATCCTGTAAATTACATTTTCCAGTTTGAGCTGGGCGAGTATGTTATCGTCAGTAGTACCTCGCGCCTGGCCATAGCCGCCGGATACATAACAGCACTGGAGACGCGCAGCCTATGTGTACAATTGGAGCGTGATCTTGGCCGGCGTTATCCGCTAGAGAGCTTTATTGTGGACAAGCACGAATCTCAGAGCTTTGCCAGCTTCAATTACACCAATCTGGCGCAGCTCCTAGCGCCCAGTGAACGTGCCGCTCAGCTCCGCTCCATTGTGGTGGCCCAAACGCCGCCAATGCAGCACAAGATGCTGCCTCGCGTCATCGGCAGCAAAGGTGGTCCCATATTGCGTCCATTGAACAAGGTGCAGCAGATGGCCGCCCTGCGTGCCCTCACCACCAATACACATTTGTTGATCAAGGGCCTGCCCGGTACAGGCAAAACCGAGACACTGGTGGCCATTGTTCGTCTGCTGCATTTGATGGAGCGCAGTGTGTTAATCACAGCCCAAACGCACTCTGCCGTAGACAATCTGCTGCTGCGTCTGCTGCCATATAATCTGCCTCTGTTGCGACTGGGCAATAGCGCTAGAGTTCATCCGCAATTGCACGACATTAGCGAGGCACATTTGACGGCTGCCTGCGAAACTGTTGAACAGTTGACGGAAACCCTGCAGAAACCAAGCATTGTGGGCGTCACTTGCCTTGGCGCTGGCCACGCATTGTTCCAGCAGCGGCAGTTTGACTATTGCATTGTGGATGAGGCCACGCAGGTGCTGCAGCCCACGGTTCTGCGTGCGTTGAGCCACTGCAGCCGTTTCATACTTGTTGGTGACCCGGAACAGCTGCCACCCATAGTGCGGAACCGTGAGGCGCGTTTGCGCGGCGCCGATGAGACGCTGTTCCAGCGTCTGGACTGTGAGGCAGCCACGGCGGTGCTGACACTGCAGTATCGCATGAATCGTACCATTACACGCCTGGCCAATCAGTTGACCTATGGCGAGGCGCTGCAGTGTGCCAATGACAGTGTCGAAAACGCTAAGTTGCAGCTGGAGCCACCAACGGAAGCCTGCCTTTGGGTACATCGTACGCTGCAAACTCATTTAGAGCAGTCAGTGTTTCTGTTGGACACATCCGACTGCGCACAACGCTGTCAGGATTATGCAGAATGCTCCACACAGCTGGGCACTACCTCTGCTACCATCGAACAGCACTATGGCGAAGCTGAGGAGCAAACAACGCAACCATCCGAAACACAGCCTGGTCGCTCTCGGCGTGCGCCCAAGTATAGCAACTATTGCGAGGCGGCCATTGTGTTGCATTTGCTGCGTCAGCTACTGAAAGCGGATTACGATGCATCACGCATTGGTGTCATTGCGCCGTATCGCGCTCAGGTCGAGCTTCTGCGCAAGCTGGGCGAGCACATGACCGGTGTGGAGTTCAATACGGTGGACCAGTATCAGGGACGCGATAAAAACCTCATTATCTATAGTTGTACAAAAACAGGCGGCACAGCTGCCGAACTGTCTATGGAACGGTCACGTGAGGCTGAAATCCTAGAGGATCAGCGTCGTTTGACCGTTGCCATAACGCGTGCCAAACACAAATTAATTTTACTTGGGGATGTCAATTGCTTGGAACGCTATACGCCTTTTAAGTCTCTTTTCAATCACATTCCCGAACGCTGTCGGCTGCACTTGACCGATGGCCGCATGGGATTCAGCTGGCAGAAGCTGCTCCACGAGTTGGAAAAGCCCAAAGTTGGCACGTAAGTGAATATATTCATTTATTTGTATTAAACATGGGTTAGGAAATTTTTAATTCTGTAATTAATTCATCGTAACTAAAGCTTCTTAGATTTGAGTCAACATTAGATCACGTATATTTGGCTCTTGTCTGAAGATTATGTTCATCGAAATATCTGTACCAAAACTTGGCATTTATTTAATCCCCACCTACAAACAAATTCTTTTTAATATCCAGCCACTATATCATCCAGCTGCTGTGGGAATGTTAGTCCGCAAATTAAGTGTAAACAACTATCTTTTGGTTCATAAAAATAGCTTTGTCGAACTCAGCTCGGCGTTTCACTATGTTCCTTCCCTATAGGCAAAGTCTTATTAACACTGTGTCCTACATTTATGCACTGCCATTGCATTATGCGATGGTATTTTTGGCTTTTTGGCACCTTACTGTCGTTTTAAAGTTACCCCAAGACTTTTGAATAATTGTAAAAATATTAATCAAATCAAATTATTATTGATAAAAACATGTATGCTATCGTTGAACCGCTGAACTTTGATACATTGGCTTTGCTTTTGTTTAAAAACAATTATATTATTATCCAGTAATGTTTTTATTTAAACTCCAATGTTACTTAAGCATAGCTTCCTAATGCTCTCTCTCTCTCGCACCCTGTCTCTCACCTTGCTCAATTTCATACTTTCCAATGCCACGCACGCGGAGCTTGCGACCGATCAGCTCAGCAGACGCGCACAGACTAAATCGTCCCACTAGGCTCGAGTCTACGCTAAGCCAGCACTCACACTAATACACTCACATTGACACGTAACTAATATAACTCTCACTCTCCCAACATGAACACTGCTCGCACCTTTTCCAAGCGCATCAGGTAGTTGCGTGCATCCAATATTCGTACACCATGTGTAATGTGGGTTCTTTGTCTTTTAACGATTTAAACTCCAATTCGATGAGAATAAATTATTGTTTCTATTAGCGCAGCGCATAAAAGATGGTCATATGATGAAATCTTTAAGCGTGCGCGCACATGCTTTAAGCATTTGGTTCGTGTTTGTTATGCACTCGAATCAAAAAGAAGTAAATTTTGTGGAGTGCTTGTTCATTTCTAGTAAACAAACCAATTTATAGACAACTATTGCTGCAACTTTCAACTAACATGGTGAACCACTTAAGTGAGAGTCTAGCGTTGTTGGCACACATGCACTCACATACATTTATGCATGTGTGTGTGTGTGTGTGAGTGTGAGAGTGTGCATACTCACAGCCACCCAAACAAACGCACTCTAATCACACCCACTTGAATTCACTGCCAAGCACATACCCTTTCTTGCACTCATGCATTCACTTCGCTGCACGCGCCGTCAGTGCGCACAATGGCGCACAATGTACGCGTCACTTTGGTGTAGGTGTGTGTGTGTGTGTGTGCGGGTGTGGCACTAAATGACGCTGAGTGCACATTGCCACAATTCTTGGGCGATTGTTGTAGTAGTGGTTCTTGTTGCTGCTGTTGGTGGCATAATTTACATGACAGCAACACTTGGAACAAACCGTTGAATACTTGCCGAAGCACAAAGGCCACCAGCTAAAAGGAAAAAGATTTTAGGTGGGGGGGTTGTGCATGTTTTATGATTAGCGCAATTTAGTGCACTACAAAATGCTTAACCATGGCGAATACGTAATGCCTAATTAGCGTCAGAGAAAAAGTTTTCATTGCAATAGCTAACCGCAGGTCATACAAAACCTCAAGATAGACAAATAGACAAATAGACAGACAAACAGAGCAACAGACACGACGCCAACTCAATGGCCCAACTTCAAGCTACAAATTTGTTTGGCTTTCGGTTTTTACCAGATACCCACAGACGCTAGCGGCAACAAGCCACAACAACAACCAGCTGGTGGAGGGGATTGGAGAAGAGGGTAGGTGAGCTGTTCGTGGGATGCAAAGCGCGATAATTGACCTGCAAGCGAGCGAGTGCTAGAATATCTATGGGGGTGTGTGTGTGTGTGTGTGTGTGTGTGTGTGTGTGTGTGTGTGTGTGTGTGTGTGTGTGTGTGTGTGTGTGTGTGTGTGTGTGTGTGTGTGTGTGTGTGTGTGTGTGTGTGTGTGTGTGTGTGTGTGTGTGTGTGTGTGTGTGTGTGTGTGTGTGAGTGTCTATGCGTATATGTCTGTTGGCCATGCAACTGTGCAACAACTTTCGCTTTGATAAAGGACCTTGGCGTCAAGTCGAGTCCTTTCGGCGGCAGCGAGGCGTGGCCTCTGCTCCATGGCACCAAAACTAGAAGGAGGCACCCGCATTGCACTTGGCGCACAACATACTTTTTTGGCGCTTTAAAATGCAAGCATATTTAAAACGTGTATGTGTGTTCCTCAATTCGTTTTCCCTTCGATTTCGTGCACAGTTTTGGTATATGAAACCAAGCACTTCCCTCCCTCTCTATAGTCTACTTTTGTTTTTCTTTTAGTCGCACATTAATTAACAGACAAATTGCGTAATAGATATTCAACTCGTTATTCAAGACACGTCGGAAACATTATTCAAATGAAACTACTTTAATTTTATACAACAGTCTAGCCATTTTGCAACCCGAAGCGAAAGAAAGCACAGACTTGTGGCAAACAAGTATGTACAAAGTTAAGCTCAAGGCATTTTGGCTAAGAGGATATCAGAAACAAAATAACCTGCCAAATGCTTAGTAAAGAAATCTCTGAAAAACAAAGAAAAATGTTGAAACAATAAAGAAAGAAAGCCAAAAACAACAAACGCAACCCACAGCTCATTCAAGCGCATTAAGCAAAAATAAAGTTTCTTTTTTTATTTTTTCTTATGTAAAAGGAAGAACAACTTTTCTGCTGTTTGTGTGTGTGTGTGTGTGCGTGTGTTTTTGTTAAATCAAAAGGAAAAGCGAACTAGATAAACCTGCTGGCGCTGGAAAAGGTTCACTAAGCGACTGAAGCAAAAGGATTTGTTCTGTGAGTCCGTACAAAATTAGTCAGGCAATTTGCATAAGCAATAAAACAAAGCGCACTTCTGGACAAATACACGAAACGGACACAGGACATACTTTTGGACATACACAAACGGAAAAGTCTTGAAATGGAACTGTGCGTGATCAGATTTCGACTTTTGACTGTTTTGAACGTGTCAAAGGATTGTGTTTATGCAAATTTATCAATTATTTATTATTACAATATACATAATGGGTCTAAACTTCACATAACTTAATTCCATCTGTCCGATCAGCTTTTTGGCTGCTTTTATACCTTGAACCCATAAAAAATGTAAAATAAAAGGGGGGTCGATCTAGCCATGTCTGTCAGTCCGTACGTCCGTTCGTCCGTCCGTATGTATCTCAGAACCTATAAGAGAAAGATATTTGAAATTTGAAACCTAGGTCCTTCTAGTGCTCGCATAGTTTGTTTCCGATAATCGATAACTTGTCCCGTTTGTTAGCAATCGATAAATATCAAAATCGAAGGGTTCAGGGGATCGCCTAGTCGGATACTGCCGACTGGAGCTTGTAACTTATTCGTATTGTTTCCTGTTAGAATTGTTTTTCGATTAAAATATCACAATTGATTTCTCTAGGACTCGCCTTGCAAATCATATGATCGAAGTAAATAGATGAGCCACAAAAGCGCTGCCAATAACTGTTTCGCTTTTTCTTTAACTTGTAAATATCAAGGCAGCTGAAAAACTTTTATTTATTTTTTTTTTAATACTTTTGCCTTGTTTTTATGGAGCCATTTTATGAGGCGTAAAAATAACATTTAAATGTTAACACGCCATTTAAACGCAAATTTGCGCAGCGTTTGCCTACTTTTGGGCGCCGCAAAAAGAGTGCAAAAAAAATTGCGGCAAAACTGTGGTATTACAACAGGCGCCCAGCATGTGGTTTTTTCCGGGCTGCCAAATGGCAGCTGAGAAGGCGTAAAAGGGCAGGGCAGCATCAAAAAAATAAAAGTGCCCAAAATTTATTGACGAAAACAAAGTCAAGTGCCGAGAAACCCAAACTCGAGGTTACAGCTGAGATTGCAGCAGCGATTCTGTGGGCACTTTGTCTATGTGGGTACTCCATGTGTTTACGAGCTATGATAAGCTAAGCAGTAGTAGTGGCAGAGGCAGTGGCTGGGGCAAAGGGGGGCAAAGGAGGAGGGCATCAGCAACATTGGCGGCAACCCGACGAGCGCCATTAAGTATGCTACACGTTGCGCAGTCAGTGCAATGTTGTCGCCGGCGACCACAGAAACAGAGCCAACTATAAATCTATCATGTTTACGCTGAGCTTGACGAGCATGCTCCCGCAGATTCTCAGATGCCCAGACAGGAAAGATGGCCAATACCCTTACCCCGCTGCCCGAAAGCGACTACAGCAGTTGAGCACAATTTGTTTATGCAAGTCGAGGCTGTGAGCGAGTAAACGTTGCTTGAATTATGGCTTTGTTTATCCCAACTCGCACACAAAGAAGAAAAATAAAAAAATTCCATGCCCCGCAGACCCAACACACACCCGCACTCAGGGATCCCAAGTTTTCGCCAACGCAAACGAAAAACTTTGCCACACATTGCAACGTGGTGAGTTTCCATCCTGAAGATGGGGCGTGATATGTTATGGCATCATAACAATTGATTTTATTTGCCTTGCTTATTGATATCGTGTGTTATTCCTATTTCTTTAGTATGATCGACCCGACTGCAAAGAATAGAATAGCCTTATCGTAATTGTGATAAACTTGGGTTTTATGAGGGTGACTGACATTCTCCCAAAATAGTTTTCCTAAATGTTATCATATACATTTTTATTAACAAATGGATAAGTTCGTGCTTTAAATATATCATAGTTCAAATTTTTGTAAGCTGCTTTTGTTCATCTTCAATAAATTTTCATTTGCCGTGTTAACACTTTTATTGGCAGCGTACTTTTAAGCTATATTCATTTATAAACTTGTTGCACGCCAATATAATATTGACATAAACCCGCAACCCCTATCGACATTTACCCATCCTTTGGCCAAGCACAAGAAACAAACTTCTTAGCTTATTGATTTCGTAGCCTTTCGCAAATACTTTGACACTTGGAACTGGCACTTTGACAAGCCGCAAAAGTTCATTTGGTATATTTATGAAAATGTTTTTGACACCTTTTAATAAGGTTGTTCACGTTGTTGTTCCTGTTGTTTATTTTTTTATTTTTACCTTTTTTTTTGTTGCTCGTGTTGCTGTTGCTTGAATACCTGAGGTTCGTGCAACATTTGCAACGCCTGCTTTTGACAATTTGTGTTGTTAATTTAATTAAATGCGGCGTTCATGGGCGTTACGATTGGCGCTCCAGAGAGGAGGCCACTTGTCTGTGTGGCAGCCAGCTTGTGCTCTGGGAGCTTCGTAAAAAGTTTACAAACTGCCAAACATAGCCAAATGAGCAGCAATCAGTGAGTTTGAGGGACAAACGTGTCAAGAACAACGAAAGCAAGTGGCTTGTTAATTAAGAAGAAAGCTCTGCTTGAGATATACAATTTTCATGAAATATTTACAT